TGCTGAGCCCCACCCCAATACTGGGAGATGTCTCCCCACCACCCAATACCACCCTACGTCCTGGCTGCCCACTCACTGGCAGAGATCGCTGGTACAGCTGGCTGTGAAGGGCAGAGGGCTGACGTAGGCATGGCAGGCATCAAAGGGGGGCCGCAGCAGTGCCTCACACCGGCCATACACACCCTGGGGCGAGGGAGCTGGAGCTGGGGGCCAGCAGGGCCACGCATAGCCCTCTGACTTCACCAGCCCCACAGGGAATCCCAACTTGGACCCAAGAGAGAGAAAGAGGAGGGTGGGAAGGACAGGAAAGGGGCCATGGGCACCAACCACTCTGGGCCCCTACAGCCAGTGCCTTTCCAAGAGGTAGACAGAAAACCAACCTAAGCCAGGCACTAAGATGGGGGGTAAGGAGCCAGGGTGGGGGGACTCTCCCCATGGTCCAGACCTGCATGGTTCCCAGGCTCTGCTGCAGGCACGGTGGGAGAGGCAGGGAGGAGGTTATGGGCCCTGGAGGCTGGTTGGGGGCCAGCTCCTGCCAGCTGTGCACAAACTCAGCCACATCGTCCGTCAGCTTTCCTGTAAGAGGCACCGAGCATGACCACAGGTAGGGATAGGAGGCAGGAGGCCCAGGTGGATCTCAGGGAAGGCAGGTGGAAATAAAGAGATGACAAGCAGTGAACAAGGAGTTGAAGAATCCAGCCTGAGCTCCCATCCCAATCTGCACTTTCCAATGGGGCCATTCTCCTGAAAAAGCTGTTTCGTGATAATAGCCAAGAATGCTCCAGAACCTGCAGTGGGTTCTCACAGTTCCAAACTCAGGAGAGGCATCACCAATCAAAAGAGAACAGCATGTGAGCCTGGACAAGGAGCCTCAGAGCATAACCCCTCCCATGAGATTATTGCAAGGACTCTCTGAGATGCTGCACGTAAAGTGTTCGTATGTTACGGGCGCTCAAAGGTGTCACTTCTTCGGGCCAGGGCCGCCGTGATTTGGCCCCACGCCCTTCACTTCTAACTACTCTTCCCAGGCATCTTCAGCTCTAGCTGGGCCCTTTCTCTTCCTGGCTCTCTGGCACTCTGCTCCCTGCCCCTCCCCACATGCACACCTTATTGGGCCGATCCCACCTAGCAGAGTGCCCAGTAAATCCTCATAGAACCTTAGTAGGGAGTCTCATTATAACAACTTTACAAATGAGGAAACGGAGGTCGAGTTGCTAAGAACATGACTCAGGCCACACATTTGGTAGGAAGGGGTCCCTGGCCTTCCATTGGATCTCTAGTACCACTACCCCAGATTTCTGCCCCAAGACCTCTTCTACTGCTCCCAGCCTAACCTGTCCCCCATCAAAACCCACTGGAGGCCACCTGCCCAGCACCTCACCATAGCTGGTCAGCAGGTCATCCTGAGGGTCAGCATTGTTGTTCCCACACAGCCCATGGGTCCAGCCCAGGAACTCCGGGCTCATCTTGATGTAGACAGCCGAAGCGCCATCCCAGGCCAGTGTGAAGGCTGACTGGTGCCGCACGAGGACGTAGCCAGCAAGCTGCTGCAGACGCACACTCCCCATCGCATGGGGCAGTTGGACCCTGCAGGGCACAGCCCATAGCTTCAGACTGTCCATGCCACATCCATTAGCTCAGTCCCTGTACCAGAGGACCCACCGTCCCCTACCTGCAGGACCCATCATGTACACAGCACCTGCCTCATCCACACAGCTGCTGGAACCATGGGACCTGAGGCCCTACTTTCCCTCCCCGACTTCTCGGGGACATGAAAGTCCATCATTTGAGAGATTCTTTTGTCTTCAGAGTTTGAACACTGCTTTTTAAAATGGCAATTTCCCTGGCAGGGATAAATCTTAGAATGACTGAGTTCGCCAACTCCTTCCTCCGAAATAGGAAAGATGGCATAAGCAGACATCTACTTTGTTTATTTATTATTATTATTATTATTATTATCATTATTTTTGATGGGGAGCAATAAAGGAGCGGGAAAAGAAAAGACCAAGAGGGAAGGACAACAGTGGGTGAAAGAAAAGATGGGGCTGCAGCCATCTTGACCACTTTCCCAGTTTTATTGGTACAGGATCTCTTAGCCAATCTGGCAACTTTCAATCCACCTGAAAATCAGGAAAGGAAAACGAAAGAAGTGTCTAACCAACCAAAACTGGTACCAAAATATTCATGTACCAGCCTTTTATTCACTGGGGAAACCCTTGATCCTTGAATTTTCTGCTCAGCCCCAGAAAGCTTGGTTACCCAGTTTCCAGACCCAAAGCAGGAAATCAGAAAGGAGAGAAGGGACATTGCAGGAAGAACCCCATCCCTCCGTAACCAGCATAAAGTTACAGCAGACATCAAGGGCAGGAAAGGACAGTAGAGAGGAAAGAAAGATTTCATCAAGAACCACAGTCCATTTAGTGTGGGAACAGAGTCCTCCTTCCTTGCATGGTCCCCCACGCACCCCTGATGTCCCAGATAAGTGACATTCAAAATGGCCCTATGTCATCAGAAAAGGGTGGCAGTGTGCTCATTGTCTGCTCTGAGGGAGGATGGACCTGTATATGCTGTATTTGGGCAGATTTCCTTCTAGTTGTGAAAGAAAAGAAAAATTAAGCACGCTTTGGTGGTACACTCTTGGCTATCTGGAAAACTGCTATTTGCCTGAATACCCAGTCTCTGGAAACCCACAGGGCCTGAGAGAGTTCCAGAAAATCACAAGGGACTCATCTTTCTGCAAACCCAGATCACTAGAAACCCAGCTGGGCCAGCCAGTATGTTCCTGCCATAATGGTGGAAATTCTGCTGTTTGCCCTTGAAAACAATTTCCTTTAGGTTTGAGAATGGCAGGTGCTCACCTGTCCTCCACCAGCCAGGGAGTAGGAGAGCTCAGGGCAGGTGTTAGAGTTACCTCACTCCTCCGTGGGTGACCTCCTTGGCCAGACGTAGCTCCTGCTCACCCGCAAAGAAGAGGCTGACAGACCTGGAGCAGGAGTAGGGGGAGGAGCCGCACTGCGGGTCGTTGTGCACCTGGTTGGGGGTTTCAGGGGTCAGTGTGCAGGGTTCCAGCCATAGACCTGGCCCAGACCTTCGGTTCTGGACCCAGCAGCCCCCTGCTGAGCTCCCACTAATGCTAGTGGCCTGCCCACTTGTGCCAAGCATCTCTCCTCTGGTACCTCTCCCAGTCCCCACAACATCACAGGAAGGTCAGAGCTATGATTATCTGCATTTCAGAGAGGAGGCAACTGGTGCTCAGAGAGGTCAAGTGATGAAGGTCACACAGGTCACACACACAGCCAGGATTCTACCCCAGGTCTGTTGCCTCAAATTCCAGGGCTCTAAATACATTGTGCTATCTCCCAGTTTCTGAATTTTTTTGTTTATTCATCTCAGGTTATCCAATCAGATTGAAAGTCAATGTTACACACTCACTGTCTCATATGCATATAAAATGAGCAAACACACACACACACACACACACACACACACACACACACACACACACACCCCTCATATACATACTCACAGGGTACTCCCGATGCACACACTATAAACACACACTCCTACCACGACCCTGGCAGGCACGGCCTAGCCCTTCCCTGCACACATGGGCACACAGGTCACTCCTAGGCTGCCTATCACATATACATCTCCTCTGCCCCCTGCTCAAACAGAACCCATACTTCCAAGACCATAGGACCAAAGAAGGAGAAGGAGAACGAGGGTCCCAGAGCTTAGGGAAAAGTCTGAAAACGTTTCTCATCCAAGTGTGGAAACTCTTTCCGAACCTTCCACTAAATTACTGTTAAATGTGGTTAAGCAGGCTGGAGCCGCTTCAACTAAAACTGGGACCAGCAAGCTGCTGCATAGTCCAACTAAATATTTTTCAAACTTTTTTGACCATGGCTCCCAGTAAGAAATATAAATATATACATCTATAAATAAAACAAAAACTTTACAAAATAACTTTTACCCCACTAATGTGTAATGCATTCTTATATTTTCTAGTCTCTTTTTTCCTTTTTCTTTTTAATGCTGGTTGTGACTCATTAAGTTGATTTTATAATTCATGAATGCGTGGTACCCCATCAGTCTAAGTAATTATAACATATCTATCATGAAATGACACAGTCAAGAAAAGCTCTGATGTGAGAACCCCCAAGTCTGAGAGGACAGGGTTGGTCAAAGTCCCCAGCCCATCCAGGGCATGACCCCCAGGGCAGTCTGAGACAGAGGGACACTAGCTTCCAGGGCCTAGTGGAGCCTTTCTGGACAGGTAGGGCAAAGGAGGCCTCACCTGGACTGAGAAGGTCTGCCCCTCGGGTTCATGGCTCCCCACCAGTGTGTAGCTGCCCTTCCCAGAGAGGTAGTAGTAGAGGCCATCAAATGTTTCCACGTGGTGCTGTCCCCACGCCCGGCAGATGCTGTCCCTCTCAGGGCCGGCATTGTACACTGAGTCAGGGAAAAGAGAACCTCTCTGTGTAACTGCAGTGGGCACGGAGCCAGAGGCTGGTGGGTTCCAGCGCTGGCAGGGCGACCCCCACTACCCTCAGTCCAGGACGCCCAGGCCTCAGACCCACAGCTTTCCCTGTACCCATGGCCCCTCCCAGGGTGGGATGGAGCCCAGACCCACCCATCTGGCAGCGAGGTCCAGTGGCATTGAAGCGTCTGCAGTCACAGAAGTTTGGGTGCACACACTCACCCCCGTTGAAGCAGGAGAACACGTCTGCAAGTGAGACACAAAAGGCACCTCCCCATCAAGCCAAGACTGGCAGAAGCCAGTGCTGAAGCACCATCCTCATGCTGGGCAGCAGGCCCCAGCCCTCTCAGAGCTACACGGAGCTCGGACGCCCATCACAGGCAGCTCCAGCGTTCCTCCGCAGCTAGCCTTACTGGGGGCACAAACAGTGTGCCTCAGACTGCTGCCTGGCCCCCTCCCTGGCAGGCAGATGGGTGGGGTCTCAGAGTACCTGCCTTCAGTCTCTACCAAGTGGCCCCTAGGCCAGCCCCACCTGGGCCTTCAGCTCCCGCAGCTAAAAGTTCCTGGCCCCCAGGCAAGGCAGGTGGAACTGAGACTACGGAGCACGTGGGGTGACAGAGAGCGTGTCGGAGACCTTCAAGCACTGCTCTTCCTCACGGCACCATAAGTGCAGAAGCCACAGCATAAACCAGGGCAGGGAGAAAGGCCTCCTCGCATTTGGAAAGCAGTAGAGAGAAAGGCCCCGGAGGACGAGACGACAAAGCAGAGCGGAGTGTGTGAGGGACGGAGCCATGAGATAAAAGGAGGGGCCACAGACACAGGGCAAGATGAAGGGCAATGCCACAGAACACAGAAAGAGGCCACAGAAACAGGGTGAAGTCGAGGGGAAAACGACGACTAAATAAGAAGCTCTCCTCAGCCAGGAGGGAGAACCCAGAGGGAATCTGGAGGCCGGGGCTGGGGCAGGTGACAAGAAACCTCATGCAGGGAAAAGAGGTCACAGGAGGTCCCGAGAGAAGCCCCATCCTGCTCTCACAGGTCTTGCTGTGGCCCAAGATCCTCCCACACACAGCCCACAGACCACAGGAAGGGGGCCACTTACAAGATGGTGCACATTTGGCCCGATGGAGCCGCCTTTCCCAGGAAGACATGGCCAAGGAGTCCAGAGCTTCAGCCTCCTTTTTAAAAAGGAAGATGTGATCAAGATCTGACCTCAGGGCGGACAGACTTCCTGGAGGTCACAGCCTTTCCTATCCATCGCTTGGAGAGAGGGATACCTCGTACCCCTCGGTGCCCCAGGCACTTCACCTCCCCACGCCCACCTCTGAGAGGTACGGAAGGGAGAGTTTTCAAGCCTGCCCTAGGCCCAGAGGAGTGAAGGCTGGCTTTTACCCTCCAAAATGGCATCTCAGTAGCCTGAACACATCCTCTCCCTTCCATGCTCCAATATCCCCCAGCCTCCCTCCCTAGTGAACCTTTGTGTCCTCCACAGCCCAACACAAAACCCCCTTGTCTGGAGAACATAGTTCCTTCTCGCCACAGAAACCATGTGAGACAGGAAAAAGAAACAAAGGCAGCCCCTCACCCCAGGGCAGGGGAGCATCTCACCCCATCCCTCACCCCAACCTTTCGGGCTCTTCCGACAAGAGCAAAAACAGTGACTCCCAGATCATCACCCACGGTCCTCAGAAACTCAGCTCCAAGTCAGGACTTGCCCTGACGCCACCAGAGCTGAGGAGGACACGGGCAAAGCATAGCTGAGAAATCCTCTTTTCCAGACCAGAATCCCAACACTTGGTCTCTCCACATGTAAACCACCTGAAAGGAAGACTGTCCCAAATAGCATGTGTGTTCAGCCACCACACGGTTAGCTGACGTGGACACCTGACCTTGCGAAACTCCAGTCTGCGGTGTCTAATGTCAGCTGGCACTGGGACCCTGGGCCCAACAGGCTCCTCCCCTCTCAGACCCTCAGCCTCCTTATTTGTATAACTTCCCAGAGCTACAGGCCCAGCCCTGGGTGAGGTGCAATGGACAGAACAAAGTCCCTGCCCTCAGGGAGCTCATGTTCTTGTTCACAGGGCCAACACGGCACAAAGCACACTCTGGGGATTTGTCTCACATATCTACCTCCTTCATAGTCAGCATTCTCTGCTGACTCCCCAGCCTCCAGCAAAGGGCTTAGAACATAGGAAGTATTCAGAACCCTGGTCCCTGGGTCCCCAGCTCTTTGGCAGGCCGAGTCTCTCCACCTCAACCCCCGGCACTCATCCTCTTCCTCTTCACCATCCGGCTGACCCCTGGGAGGTCACCGGCCCCTCCTTCGTCAGGTCTCAACGTTCTTATCACACTTTGGTCCTGGTTCCTGGGTCCTCCTTCCCTAGATTGCCTTACCCTACAGACCCAGGAGGCAGGCTGCCCACCCTGGTCGTAATCTATCTCACGGGGCCTCAGGGACCACGGGAAACAGGAGAGAGCAGGGAAAACATTCAACACCAAGGTTCCCCCAGGCCCCAAAGAGCTTAATTAAACTTGGTCTTTGTGTCTCTCCACTCCTTGCCTCCACCTCAGATATGGCCTCTGAGATTGGTGTTCTGAGGTGAAAGCAGCCTGTGCTGCAAAAACTCAAGGTCATTTTCTGAAGAAAAAATTTACATCCTGTCTAAATGATTCGTCTTCTGCGTAGACCAGGAGTTCTTAATCATTTTTATGCCATTTTTATGAACACCTTTCTTTGACAATCTAGTGAAGCCTATGGGCCCCTTCTCAGAACAATATTTCTAAATATCTAAAATGAAACATAAGACTACAAAGGAAATCAAATATATTTCAAAATAACTATGAAAATATTTTATTAAAATGTGTGACATCGTCATATTTCTACTTCATGAGTAATACATTAAATAACAAGACCTAGTAGCAGGTATTATCACTGCGCACATTTTGAAGTAGTGCGCATAGGTGAGATCTAGAGATGTGAACAACAGCTGTAAGGTGATAGGAAATAGCTGTGATTTCTTTTGGTGACAGTCACAGACACTGCTAACACTCTTGTGGTTTGTAGCCTATATAATGGAAAGGAATGCTAAATTTCCATTAGATTGGGGTACCTGTAAATAAGAATGTACTTTTTTCCCCACCCAAGTTCATGGACCCCTGATCTACACCATCAATTCTTTGAAAATGGCTGAGCTCTAAAGGAGTGAGGCAGCATTGAAATGAAGGCTGGTCGGCCGCTGGTCTGGGACAACCCCCCACCCATATGAATGAGGGTATTCCAGGCAGAAGCCCCCGAAGGGTCCCCAGGCTCACTTTCTAGCTAATGGCCTCATTTCCCACACCTCACTCCAGTTACCTTAAAAGAGAGCCGTTTCAACCCCTTATTTGCTCTAAGGAGTAATGTGAGACTCCTACTGGGGTTGCCTGGGTCAGATGCTTCCCAAGAAAAAGAGTGGGGGCTACCCTGGAATGCAGCAAGGAGGGAAGGCCACGGGAAAGGGTATTTGAGTAAGGATCAGCTCCCTCACTGAAACACAGGCATTCCTGGAGTCTTATGGGCCATTCACAGTGCCATGAAACAGGTCACTATAACCAGGAGACCCAGCTCCACCTGCTCTGGGGACCCTGGAACGTCACCCACCTACCTTGATTTCCCCAGCGACAAAAGAACGACGACATTATCTTTCAACTCAAATTATACTGGACTGCAATTCTAAAAGTTGGGGGCGACGCAAGTGCACAAATGAGAAATAAAAACCCCAGATAATCCACACATTAGAGAATAAGCGTGCCCCCTCCTACCTTGGGGTCTTCATATATATTTCCAAAGGGCAGGCATTTGGGACACATTGTTTCCTATCATAAATGGTTCTCCCAACCTGCTGGCACGAAGGACCACCCAGAACTGATTCCTAGGGCATGCATGAAGTGAGACTCAGGATGCTTGGAGGGGCCTGGCTGTGAGTGGGCTGGATTTGTAACATGTCTGTGGTTGTAGAAAGGAGACAAATGCAGGCCAGGATTAGAAAGGGAACCTTAGTCACCTGATTTAGAAACCAAAGAAGTTTGGCAAAGAGAGAAAACAAACCACCACCTCTCACCTCTCCCAAAAGCACAAAGGACCCCCCGGCGGGTGTGCAACAGGGAGTGGTCAAGATTCAGAGGATGGTAGCTCAGGGCTCTGCTTCTTATCCAACCCTTCCTTGCAAACCCCACCAGGTGGCCCAGTTTTTCTCTCCTCTCAGGGTAGCATTGCTGCGGCCCTGGCTCAGGGTATGGAGAGGGGCCTCTAGAAGGGTTTGGAGCCTTTGCAGGCCAGACAGGGAAAAGAGAACTTACTCCATTCTCCTAAACTCTCACCTCCCTACTTTCACACAGGGGAGGGGAGAGAGCCCTGTCTCCGAGAGTGTCTTGGTGCCCCACTCCCCTAATTAAAAAAAAAAGAAAAAAGTCAGCTACAGGGCCCTAGGAGATTAGGAGAGTGGAAATAGAATTTGCATACTTAATACACATACCAGAACCTTGTTTGCTCCTGAATAACTGCAGAGGCAGCCTTCCTGCAACCTACAGAGCTCCCTGCCAGCCTCAGACCCCAATAGAAATAAGCCCTTGCCCAGCAAAGCCCCCCTTCCTCAGGCCCCCCTTACCTGACCACCCATCATTGCTGTCGCATCTCCTATGGCAAGGGTCACCTCCTGATGGCTGCGGCTAGATGAGAAAAAAACCTAACATGGGTGAGGCTACAGGAATGAGTCCTGCCTCCCCACTACCCCAGGCCCATCCCACCCCCTGTGCTAACTTCTGGGGTCACCCACACTAGGAATAAAGATGGGAGCAGCGAATGGGGTAGCCGCAAGCTCCAATCTACTCACCTGGGATCCAGGGCTGGCTCAGGTTGCTGCTCTGCATTGGTCGGTGATGTGGGTGCTGAGGCTGGGGAGGGGCATTACTCTCCACTGAAGATATGCCCCGCATTGTTGGGCCTCCACCACCCCATCCCCTTCGAGGACGCCTCTCCCACATCAAGCCCCATCCCTCCCATTCTCCTCCCTGCAGCTTTCTCAAATTCTTTCTCACCCTCTCTGGTAACTCTTCGACAAGGGTCTCCCTTTCCTTCCACTCTCTGTTCCAAGTTCACCCTAGTTCCCCACCTTGGGTCTCCTCCACCCTGCCCAGCTTAAGACCCGTTCCCCTGGCTGGCCTCTTTCCTTCTGAGCCCCCCTCTTCCCACCCTCTCCGTCGTTGTCCCCCTGTCTCCCTCAAATCTTCTCTTTTTCCTCCTTCTCTCCAACCTGCCTATACCCGTTTCCCCTAAACGTTCCCCCAGCCCCGGCCTTCCTTAGTCCACACCCCTCTCACCGGGAGCCCGCACCCTCAGGGACTCCCCTGCCGGCTCACCTCGAGACACCCAGACGCAAACGAGTAGCAGACAGAGCGCGGGTGCGGGGTCGCACGGGGCCAGGGCCCCCATAGGGGCTCGCGGGTACTGGGAAGGCTGAGCGGGGCCCGGGGTCCCGAGTGACTCTCCGGGTGAAGGCTAGGTCACACCTCCACTCGGCGGCAGCCAAGCGTCCCGCTCTCTTACCCCAGGGTTCCCTGGGCCCCGCCTCCCAGGCGATTAGCTAGCTCCTCCTCCTCCAGCTAGAATGACTGCACTGCCCCGCGTATTACCATAATTTAGGCGCCTGAAGAAGATCCAGCCTTCACCCCGCTTGGACTGTGGCTGCCCCTCCCCAGGGGAGGCGGGATTCACATCGCTCAGCCCTCAGGCCCCTGGGGGCAGCAAGGAGGCAGCCTGTGCAGCCTCTAACATCTCTTACTCCGGAGAGATCCCTAGCTCAGGAACTTGGGTCCTGGAAGCCCCTTACACCAGAGACCCAAGATGCTAGTATGTGTCTGGTCCCCCACTCTTCTTTTCACAGAGCTCATGGGACACGCTATTCAGTGGTCAGTAGCAACCAGGGTTCAGGACTGCAGAGTCCTAACCTGTGATCCCACCACTTCCTACTACAGCCTTCTGGGTCCCCAAGTCTGCACCCTACCCCCAGTTTTGAGCAGCTCCTGAAATGGTGACTTAATGACAGAAGTGCCCCCCACAATCCCATATTATTGCTCCCACCGAGTCCAAACTCTGACAAAACATAACAAAAAATAACTTCAATTTTGTGAAAAAGGTATACCCGCTGCCCAGAAGGAAATATAAAATGGTGGAAATGTGGGCCTGAGAGCCTTGGGAACCTGTGCATCACTCACTTGGCCAACTGAGTGTTGGAACACCAACTAGCTACCAGGACTTGGAGATGATGATGATGATGATGATGATGATGTTGGCCCCAGCAGACCTCTGGGCAGGGGGCATAGATGTGGGATGCATTCATTCAACTAAGTTGTTGAGCATCTGTTCCTTACTGCACACTGTTCTGGGAATAGAGTGGTAAATAAAGCTCACGCAGCTATCCACACAGGGCATGGGTATAGATGGGAAGGTTAAAGAGGCGAGAGCCAAGGATGGAGCCTGGTTAGAGAGTGAGCAAAGGCAGGATTGTCCCAGAGGAAGCTTGAAAAGGAACATTCATGGGAGAGGAGAACCAGATCTCAGAGCTGCCCTCAAAACCAAGAGGGAAGCATTTTTAGAAGAAGAGAGTCTGTGGAGGTGGCGGTTATGTAAAAGGACGGGGACCTTGTTCCCGCTTGTAAGGGCCTTTGTCACTCTGCCTGGATTCTAAATATGAAATAAACAGCCATGTGACATATTGGGTTGTCGGAAAAGTCATGACGTATTTTGTCTATGTTTTTCAAAGGTCATTTATTTATATAAAGAACAAAGATCAATCAATGATATATTGCCCGTTTTGTTTGATAACCTTTTGCCATCTTTCAGTGAGCTTCATAATTCCTCGTTCATAGAAGGACCTGTCTTTATTTGCGCAAAACTGAACAAGGTGCTGATTTACAGCCTCATCTGAATTGAATGTTATACCACGCAAGGGGTTTTGAAGAGAGCGAAACAAGTGGAAGTCTGATGGCGCAAGGTCAGGCGAGTATGGTGGGTGTGGCAACACATCCCATCCAAGCTCCAATAATTTTTGACTGGTGATCAAACTTGTGTGTGGTCTCGCATTGTCGCGATGAAACACAACTCCTTTACAATTAACAAGCTCTGGACGTTTCTGGAGGATGGATTCATTCAAACCGTCCAATTGCCGACAGTACATATTCGAATTGATTGTTTGGTTCCTTGGTAGGAGCTCGAAAAACACGACACCTTTAAAATCCCACCACACTGAGAGCATAACCTTCCTCTGATGAATGTCTACTTTCGATATCGTTTGAGCCGAATCATCACATCGGGACCAAGGCTGTTTGCACGCCACATTGTTGTCAACAATCCATTTCTCATCACCAGTTATCAGTCGCTTCAAAAAAGGATCATTTTCCTCACATTTAATGAGCATATTGCAGTTGTTTATACACGCCGTCAAATGAACTTCTTTGAGTTTATGCAGAACCCAAATATCGAGCTTGGTTACATATCTGAGCTTCTTCAGGTGATCATGAACGCTAGAATGACGGATGTTCAATGTTTCTGCAATCTCTTGTGTCTTGTAATGTGGGTCTGACTTGATCAATGCTTTTATTTTGTCATCATCAACCTTGGTGGGCCTCCCTGCCTGAGGAGTGTCGTTGAGATCAAAATCAGCACGGAATTTCGTGAACCATCGTTGGCACTGACGTTCTTGTAGAGCATTGTCACCGTAAACTTTATGCAACTTTTCACAAGCTTGACGTGCATTCTTCCCTTTATGGAACTAAAACAATAAAATATGGCAAAAATGCATAGTTTGGTCTTCCATCTTCAACTTGTTGTAAAATCTCCAAAACTCAACCAAATCGCTCAATTTTTTTTAGAATGAAGCTAGAACTGTCAGCTGTCATATGACATAGCAATAACATGGATGCGAAAGACTCTAGTACTTCCAAAAATGAACTAGTGCCATCTGTCGCAAACGTGCATCATGACTTTTCTGACAACCCAATAGTTATGAAATGTAGAGAATCAATGCAGTAAGTTGGAGAGGAATGTATTTTGTGTGCCTTTCCTAGACCTTTGAAAATCCCACAAGTCTTTCCATCTCTGACTTAATTAGTTAATACTAAGGTGAGAACATGGATAATATTTTAAGGTTCTTTCCAGAAGGGATTTACATCTTAAACCAGGCAACAATTTAGCCCAAATTTAGTCTGCTGGCCAAACTTCAGCTATTAGGCGTGGAATGTAAAGGAAAGGATCTTTAGGTGCCCCTGAAGTTACAATTACCGATTCACTGATTTGGGCTGCTGTCCATCCCCTGTGTCCTGTTCCCTGACATGGTGCAAACAATCAGGCCCCCATCCTGGGTTAAGTCCAGGCACAAGCTCCATAATTAAAGGTCCCCACTCTTTCCATTCACACCTGTCATATTACCCCTTTTCCTGGGCCCTTCTTTCCTCTCAGTCTGCCCCGGGCTTGATTCGTCATTGTCTTTGCATCCAGCACTAGACCTTCAGCAAACTTTGGTTAAATTGAATCAAATGAACCAAATGGGGTTTGGGTCCTGGGCAAAGGTCAGCCAGAAATCAGACTGTCATTGCCAGGCCCTTTCATGCTTCAGCGAATGTGTGTATAGGTGTGTTTGTGGGTGGGGTGGGCTAGGGAAGGTCGGAAGGGAAGTTGGGTGAGGAGGGGCACTTTCACCCACTGACTCTGGCCTCTGTGGGCCACAATAAGACCCAGCCTCAAGAAATTCACAGATCGGCGCGGGCAGTTGGCTCAGTTGGTTAGAGCTCAGTGCTCATAACACCAAGGTTGCCGGTTCGACCCCACATGGGCCACTGAGGTGCGCCTTCCACAACTAGATTGAAACAACTACTTGGAGCTGATGGGTCCAGGAAAAGCACACTTTCCTCCCCCCCCCCAAAAAAAAAAATTATAAAGAAAAAAATATATATTTAAAAAAAAAAAAGAAATTCACAGATCAACGATTTCTTCCTAATGGGAAAAGCCCATGGAAAAGGTTCATTATGGAATGAATGTACACTGAAGGTGAGATGAGTGAGCCTTAGGAATGCAAATGGGCCTCTAATTTGTGTATCCAGAGAAAACTGACTAGGTTACCTCACTCCCCACTTATTGAGGTGAGAGTCTCAGAGTCTCTGAATTCTGGCCCCCACAAAAAAAGTCCCAAACCTCTTCTCCCAGGGGTCCAGAGATCCTCTTTCAATTGCGCGTGTTTAGAGGGTCATTCCACGACGATTGGAATAGCGCCAGCCATCCACCGTCACCACCATAGACACACACTGGAGCTCATTTGCTCCAGGGCGTCAGAGGGAGGCTACAAGGTTCAGGACAGGTGTCTCCAGCCTCCCAGTGGCTCCGCCCCGCCCCCGCCAAGGCCTCGCCGGTTGCCGTCGCTGCTCCTGTTTGCTCCCGGCAGCCAGGCACCCCAAGGAACGATTTGTGCAGCGACGCGGCACAAAGTATCCCAGCCATGGACCGGAAGGTGGCCCGAGAATTCCGGCATAAGGTCAGAGCGGCTAGGGGCTCCCCAAATTCCTGTGATCCCTCCCTTTTCTAGTCGAGCCTGAGGTTCTGGGTAGACTGGGACCCTGAGGGTCATTTGATTGCCAGCGGAATCTCCAGTAAAATGAGAGAGGAACACTGAGACTCCAGATGCAGGAACTGCTAAACTGATCTGAAAGTGTCCTTCCTCCTTCTGCCCTCCAGGGGCTGCGGGCTGGGACTTCTCTGGGGTTGGAATTCCTTCCAGCGATCCGCCTGAGACAGGATTCTTCTGTTTGATGCCCCAGTGGGCAAATCCCCCAGCTCCTTCCTAGTGCCCCCAGCTCAGCTGGAGCATGTGGAGAGGGTCAGAGGCAGGGTTTGAGAGGGGAGGATTCTCAGGAGGGGAAACTGCATGTCTCTGTCCTTTGATCTCAAAACACTTCAAGGAGTCCCCTTCCTGCTGAAGAGCATTTCTTAGGTCCCAGACAAGCAGCTGAGGAACTGGTGCCGGTCAGGGGGGCAGTGAGAGGAAGGCAGGAGGTGCAGAGCGTCAGCCAGACCCTTCCAGCAGAGTCTCCCTCCCCTGGTGTGTCCCACCGAGGGGCCTCGTTGGTGGTCTGGGATCCGCAGACACCATCCCTGAAAGTTGCTGGATTTCATCCAGGGCATTTCCAGAGCAGTGTCCAGAGCTCTGCAAGGGCCGCTGAGGCCCTGAGGCCAGACAGGACCATTCTAGGAGACCCAGAGGACCTCCCCACCTGGCCTTAGGATGCCTCAGAGCCCGAGGGTTCCTGGGTGCCAGGGGCTACCCACAGGCCCTGCCTGAGGGACCGGTGACTGTGTGCCCTGAGGCCCTCCCAGAGGGGCAGTGTCTTTAGACCAAGCCAAACCCCTCCCCAGGCTTGAGGGGAGAGCTCAGGTGGGCAAGGTCAGGGTACTTAACCCCTCTCTCCCCGCAGAGAGGCCCTGCGGGGAGTAAGAACCCATCACTGCAGGGGCTGAGGAGTCAATCATTCGTTTAATAAACATGTTTTGAGCACCCCTTATGTGCCAGACCCAGTCTCTGCCCTCGAACTGTGGGTCACTGATGGGAGGCAGACCCTACACCAGTCATTACCCATGTCTAGCTGCTGAGTGTCGGGATCAAGGTTTGTTGGGAGCACAAAGATGGCAACTCAAACTGGCAGAAGTCTCCCAAAAACGAAGCCTTGGGCATCCAGTTCAGCAGGAGTTGGGGACGGCGAAAGGCTAGGGGAGCGTGAAATCGGGTTCACCCGTGTACCCTGTTGCAAAGGGACGTGAGGCATGAGGGGAGAAATTTCAGCCGTGAGGCCATTTGGTGAGTGTAGATTTCAGACAACCACCCCAAGACTCAGGCTTAAATTTCATTTTCCTGCTCCTGGGCTAAAAGGAAGGTCTGGTCTTCTTTTGCCTTCTCCCCGTGGAGTACTAGTCTTGGCCTCTTTTGGGAGAATTAATTACCTGTGGGATGCCCTGTCTGACTCTGCCCCTGGAGTAGCCCCTGTTCCTCTTCCCCAGGCCCCACAGGCTCCAAAGGGCCGCAGGCCTCTGTGTTTCCACCGCGCTGCTCTTCCTCATCACGAGTCATTACCTATTAATGCCCCCGTGTGTGCAGGCGGGGCAGGCGCCATGCGGGGCAAGACCTGGGCTGGACTTTGTGCCCTGCAGCTTCAGAGGCAGCAGCAACCTTCCCCTCCCAGGTTGGAGATCATCTAGGAACTGGGGAAAAGGGATGAAGCAGCAGAGGATACGAGAGAGGGGCACACAGGCATATTGGGTGAAATCTATTGCTTGCTGTTAATTGCTTTCTGGATGTCCCCTCCTTAGTGTTTCACAGCAAACCGACCCCTTGAGAATTGTTTATAATCTAAATCCTTAGTGGTTGGAGGTAGCATTCAAGGTAGTGTGTTGTCATGGAAAGTGCTGTGTGACCCTGAGCCAGTTATTAACCTCTCTGTGCCTCAGTGCTCTAATTTGTTAAATGAGAATCACAGTAATATTTAACTAGTAAGATTACTGTGAGTGCTGGATGAGATCTACACATGTGTAGGGAGCTTAAACCAACCCTGGCACTGCTGTTTAAGCGGAGCTTAAGTATCCACTGCTGTTGTCTATTATCTGGGGTTATGCAGAACTGATGTCAGATCTGAATGACCCTTGTCACTCACTGTAACAAATGAGACCTTGGGCAAGCCCCATAATATCTCCAAGCTTTAGTTTCCTCAGCTGTGAGATGAGGTTCCTAGCGCTTACCTCATAGGACAGGATATATTAAATAGGAACTCAAATACTGGCTACCCTGGACACATAATAACCATTCGGTAAATGGCCACACTGTTTTCGCCAATGCCTCCAGAGCAACAGGAATCGGTTTCCGTGGGCTTGTGCAGTTTCTCAAGGCCACTGGCAGCACTTGCATGGCCTTCTTGGTCACAGCCTTGGGCCAGGATACCAAGGGAAGGGGAGAAGGACATCAGAAACGAAGGCTTTTTCCCCAGAGGACCAGCTTTTGCAAAGAAAGCTGCCCCTCTGCTCACTCACCTGCACAGCGCAGGAAGAAACTTGGTTACTCATTTGCTCAAAAAGTATTTATTGCCGGTGCAGTAACCATGTGTTTATGGGTATCTGTAGTGTACCCTGCCCGAGGCCAGGCATCCCGAGGTGGGGTGGGATACATTAGAAGGTCACAAAAAGACCCTGCCTTCTAGGGATTTGCTAATCATTCATTCATGCATACATGCAGTAAACATTGACTGAGCTTCTAATATATGCCACACAGCACTCTAACCACTGAATAACAAAACAAACTCCATGCCCTTTTAGAGAGTACATTTTAGTAGGGAAGACAGACAGTTAACAAGTAAACCAATAAAAGTATCATACAATGCCAAGTAGTGATATATGTTATGAAAAAATAAACGGAAGAGAGGCTAGAAGGTAACGAGGTGGTACTCTCTATTTAGGGTAGTCAGGAAGGCCTCTCTGAAGAGGTGATATTTGAGCAGAGATCTGGAAGAAGTGAGGAAAGGAGCCATGGGGATATATGTGGAAGAGCATTCCAAGAGCGAGAACAGCAAGTGCAAAGGCCCTGAGGCAGGCATATGCTTACCTTCTTTCAGGAGGGCAAGTAGGATGGTGTTTCTGAGGTATTATGGAATGGAGAGAAATGGGAGGTGAATTGGAGGTGTGGTGGGGCCTGGTAGGTCATGGTCAAAACTTTGGGATTTGTTGTAAGTGTGATGAGAAGCCAGCAGCGGAGTGACATGACTGATTTACATTTAAAAGGAATTGCTTGACTGCTGGTAGAGAGCAGACTGAGAGGGCCAAGAGAGGAACCCGTTTAGGAGGCTTTTATGGTAGCCCAGGCCAGAGGTGAGGAGCTTGGACAAGGTGAGGAGTGGTCAGACCCAGGATACATGTTAGAGCTGGACCTGATGGACTTTGCTGATGGGTTGTTCTGTGGGTGTGAAGAGACAGGCCTCAAGGGTGAGCCTACATTTTGGGTGGAGGAACAAGTTGGTAGGGAGGAGCAAGAGTAGGAGGTGGTGGAAACTAAGAGTTCCATTTTGGATATTTTAAGTTTCAGATACCTGTTAGACCTTCAAATAGAGAGAGAAGTGACTGCGAAGGCTGGTAGTTGGAGTGTGAAGACAGAGAGAGGTCTGGGCTAGAGATAAGCCTCAGTGAGTCCTTTGGGTGTAAATGGTAGTTCAAGCCCCGAGACTGATGAGTCACTTAGAGCAGCGGTTCTCAACCTGTGGGTCGCGACCCCTTTGGGGGTCGAATGACCCTGTCACAGGGGTTGCCTAAGACCATCGGGAAACAAAAAGATATTTACATTACGATTCATAACAGTAGCAAAATTACAGTTATAGAGTAGCAACGAAAATAAT